ATATATTTTGACTGAGATTGGCACCGATAGCTTTTACCTTCACAGCTGTCGTGTAATTGCAGCTTTACTATGAGGGATTTTTACAAGCACACACGTGCTCCTGGAATGAGTCACGTAGGTGTTGCAAATGCATCAAAAACAGCAAACATTAGCAACTCCAGACTGTGAATTTGATTTTTAAAAAGGAACTTTGAACCACGGTGTCTTTTTTTCATACCCAAAATGAGTTTCTCATCTCTACAGCCAACAAGTAAAGATGCTGTTTGCTTGCCAAAAAATACAGCAAGTAACCCTTCTTAAATCTGGTTCATTGTATTAGCCAGTATATTCATAACTGTTAGTCTGCCTTAAATATGTATTATTCAACACGGTGGTTCATTATATACAGTACATGCTGTTATCAGCAACGTTATGTACAAAACCCCAAATGAATCCATGAGGAAAAAAAGTCTCAGAAAGGGCAGCTCAGGGCAATCTCTAATCAGCTTCTCCTTCCATATAGTGTTTATCCAGCACTAAATATTAGTTGCCTTACTTTTTGTTGATAGTTTGAAGCACTTAACTAACCCATGAGGGTTGAGGCCAATTTAACTGCCAAACACTAATTACAGCAATGCCATGCTGAAGCGGTGTAGTAACAGCGCGGGTCTGGATCAAATGAGGAAAAGAAATGATCACGTAATTGATGTTTTGTATTTTGCCTCTGAGACCCTCTGAGACACAGAGATGCTTTGCCGTTGTAAGACAGCAGAGGAGGGTCCTACACAATGTGAAGGCGCATAAACAATTACTCAGTATAGGTCAGCTTCTGTGTCTCCAATGCGAAACTTAAAAATCAAGAGCATGAACTAAGGGTGAGGGAAAATGCCAGAATGAGTGGGATGCTGAAGGCCTGTGTGCTCTTGCATGAATTTTATATTTTTCTTCTACTTTCCTTCCCTCTAAATGGATCATTTTTTCACTCTTCTGTGGCCCCCTTTACCACTGACACTAGCCACTTCAGTGGATGCGAGATGCTTTGTCCAGCCAGCGGTAAACTGGAATGTCAGAACAAGAAACCCACCAAAATGTTTTCCATTGAGCAGTGCAGGCGAGAAGGCTTTGAGCTTCTTATTCCTGGGTCATTGCCTCTCTGTTGTGCTACTCGTGTGCATAACAGAATGAAACAAATGAAATACAAATGAAAAAAAAAAGACTTTTCTTTTCACTGAACACGAGGCAAACCTATCAAATACGGTTGATTTGGAAAATACAAAATCCCTGTCAGGATCACCTGCTGATATACTAGGCAAGAGGGACAGACCTGGTAGTGCAATGCATTTGTAGGTGATGCATGTCAACTTCATGAACACATCTGGTGCGCAAATGAATAATGTAATCATCCGACATATCCTGTCTGTGATCATGAATTGTCTTTTTTCCCCAACTGCTTGTCACAGCGGCTCCTGGCGAACCAAACTTAAATGTTTCAGAGCTCCGTCTCCATGGTCCCTGTGTTACCATTACATAACGTTGGCGTAAAATATTCATCACGCTGCTCTGGACCACATCTGTATGCAGCTGAGTGCTGAGGAAACACTTTTCTGTAAACCTGCTAACTACACCAGGCTGGCTGATGCTGATCCTGGGTTATGAAGTGGTTTATTGCATGTTAATGTGCTTGTGTACGCTTGTGTATGCTTGTGTTTCTGGGTGTGAAGTGGTACAGTTTTGCTCATGTTAAGTGTGCGTTTGCATCTACACGCTGCAGTAATGTGCATGTCTACATGTCTGAGGGGCCCGCCAGTCTTCATCAGTATGCTGAACTTGTACTTGAGTGAATGCATTGCCTCCACTAAAAGCAAACATTTATGTCTAGCCGCAGTGCTAGTGTACAAGGTTGTACATCTTCTCTCTGCGTGCTATATCATGCAGCAAATGATGTCTTACTGGCGCAGGGCATGTTATGAGGCCGTCGTAAACTTAAGCTGGTTACCTTCTGGGACCATCAGCAGGTCCATGAGGACCGGGGGAGCCAGCTGGCATCTGGCTGACCTATGGATCGCTGGGAAGCCATAATTCAAGACTCCACCTAAATGACCATGCACCACTCTTCATTAAAAGGTTTACTGTTTAATCTATATGACGGACCAGACCGCTTTACTTCACGTCGGGAGCTTTTTCTCTTTTTTGATTGTTGTAATGACCATTATTCAATTAGAGTGGATGTTGATTGATTGGCGACTGTCTTGGAGAGTGTTTGATTTTCAACACAGCGGCTTAATAACCCAGGTGATAGGAACCGAAGATGAACTGGTGGGAATCTCACTATGTTCATCTACTCATCTTGTCGTCTCACTGAAGCTGCTTTCTTAACCTCCAGCTGTCTGAAGGTAAAAAGGGAAGACGAGGGAAATGCTAATATATACATTGAGATTAGAGAGAAAGAAGATCAGAGAAATCTAAATTAAATATGCAAGGACATTACGTGCATTAATGAAGAGGGAAAGAGCACTGTGCTAATGACGAAGGATTTAAGGCTTCTATGCGAGAGAGGGATCAAAAACCCGCTGCTGAAGAGGCTCATTACTGTGTGCCCACTCCTACCTGTGTGAGCGCGTATACACGCATATTTTATGCGTAAGAAAGAAAGAAAGAAAGAAATATAGAGATCATACAGGCTCGACTACGTGTAGATCAACAGGCTCATATGAAGCACACCCATGCATACTACCTTATATTGAATAAAAGATGCACAATGGGTTCACTCCGGTTTACGCTGGGGGCCTCGACAAGCAGGATACGTCCCATGTGGTTTGTGACACTCTGGAACCAGGGAGCTTATCAAACCACACATACGCTGCCGGTGTATTAGGGGGATCTAGTGGCAGATATGGAATTTGATATTAATAAGTATGTTTTCTATAGTGTCTGATTAACTGAAAATAATACCTTAGAAGGAGCTGTTTATATCGGAGCGGGTCCTCTTCACTGTGCCGGCTGCAATGTTTCTACAGTAGCCCAGAATGGACAAACCAAACACTGGCTCTAGATAGGGCCATTCCCGTATTTATGTCAGCCACTGTAGTTATTCTACACACTTGGTACACAAGAGAAGTTTCAGTTGGTTGCAATCTGCAACCTCACCGCTAGATGTCGCCAAAACTTACATAATGCACCTTAAATAAAAAGAAAGAAATAAAATCATTCTATCACCAAAATCTGGAGCTACTTGATGCTGATTATATTTAGTGATGCAGATCCTGCTTTTCTTTATCCACCAACCATCCCACACTAAACTGTTAGTGTAACGGCGCTGACTCACTTAATGCAAATCGATGCATTTCTGTTAGTGATGATGTCGATTACATCGATGAGTCGACAGAGCCCGAAACAGCCCTACATGTGAAATCATGCTTTACCTCATGACTCACTATACTCACATCAAACATGATTATCAACAGTGATGTGAAAACACAGGATTCCCGCAGCCAATGAAATAAAAAAGTGCTATCCTAATCATAGCTCAGTAATAACGTCCCCATCACACTTGCAGAGTATCTCTCCAACATGGCATTGGTGTGGTGTTGATCGCAATGGAAGGCAGTAGTGGAAGCCGTGCCAGAGTCTGGTCTGGTTCGAGAGTCGTCTAGCATTCAGCATCATAAGCCAAGAGCATCAAAGGGGCGAGCAGACATAAAGGAAGAACGAAAAACAGGGCACGCAACACGCAGCTCTAGCTTACATTTACATCATCTAAGAAAGCAACCAATGATTATTTTCATGATCAATTGAGCGGCCAGTTTTCTGTTTGATTAATAAATCTTTTGTTCTATAAAATGTCAGAGAATAGCAAAAATGAAATGAGACTAGGTTGGGAAATTTTGAGACTAGGTCTAAAACTTTGTAACCTGCCATGTTGTCCGAAACATCAATGTTTAGGGGACCAGAAATCCAGAATTATTTGTATGATGGCAGGTAAGGCAGCATAGGGCCCATTATTAAGGTGACAGTTAACACCTGGCCTGCTGAGGTGTCCTAAATTAAAACACTGAATCAGCAGCGGGGATAATTGTGTGACTGAGCCACCAGCTGACCTCCCAGTACTTCTCAAGACGAGGGAATGAATTTTCACATGAGATCAAGGTGAAAGTAAATTTTGAAGGTAGGATTATAATCAGCTTTTTAGGTGAAAGCAGAGCACAGAGGATCTGAAATGTATTTTGAAGCTGGTTTTAAAGTCTTAGTGTTATCTGAGAAATAATCTCTAATTTATTAAAAACAAAATGTAGATAAGCCACTACCTCGCCGGTCCCAAGGAAAGTGATTTTGGGTAATATCTGTGCCAAAATGTGTAATTACCCACGAAACTGTTTCAAACACATGACAGTAATTCATAAAAAGTAATTATTTTCAAATTCTAAATGGGTTGTATTATTTTACAGCGAGTCGAGCAGTAAATAGCAATGAAAGCTTCAGTAAAGTAGAAAGAGCTATTACACTTGCCACGGATGGCTGGGTAGAAAACAAAACGTGTTAAATAATTCATCAAATGTTCAAATGTACATGAACAGAAGATATGTTTTTCCCACCGTGTAAGCAGATGTATACAACAAACCGATTGGAAGACTGGCTATGGGGTAACAATGAAATTAAGTCGTATTCTATTAATCACTTCTGTATTGTGACAGGCGATACCTCTCACTGCTTAGCAACCAACTCCTGCAGCGCAACAGTCGGAGTGATGAGATTTACCAATCGTATCTTCTCTCTGAAGTGTCCATCGTGTGGCAGCAGATCTCCAACACATAGTGTTCTCGCACACTGTGCTGCAGCTCCTGTTGTTATTAATTATTCAAACAAATCAATAAAGCCAAAACAACACAAATCACAGGTACAAGTGTCTTACGGTACTCATCAGCAAACACTGCTCATGTTCTTTGTCCTGCGCATTTCACAGACACCAACAACTGGAAACTCATATCTAGATAAAGAAAAAAAACATTTGCCGATGTCCTTACCTTAAACAGGCGCAGTATGTTTGCCACCATGATGGAGACGGAGCTGGAGGAGGCTCCGATGACGCCCACCACCCGCTCAGGTTTGGTGATGATTGGTGCTCCCCCGCCCAGACATTTGACATCTGTCCCGTCCTTCTCGATCAGGGCCTGCACGAAGGTGAGCGACTGCTCCAAGGCGTGTGTGTCCCTGGAACAGGTGTCCAGGATGCGCGCCCCCAGTGTGATGTTAGGCAGCAAGTTATTGTCATTATTGATGCGGTCGAGGGCAAAGAGCATGGCCTCCAGTCGGTGTATGCCCTTCTCCTTCTTCAGCTCCCCACATGGCTTGCCGTCGTGGCCCCTGGCGTGTACTGGGAAGAGCCCACCTAAGGAGATATCCCCGTCGATGCGGATGGAGTTCAAATGTGTTTGTCCCGGCCCTTTGGGTTTGGCAGCCTGTGCAGCCCTGAGGGAGCTGTAGACAAACAGCAGCAGCAGCAGCAGCAGAATCCGGCTGTTCCAATCTGGTCTACACACCGGTGGTTGAAACATGGCCGCAGCCCGAGCACGCATCCACGCGGTACAACCAGACCCAGCAATCAGAAAGTAACAGAAGCCAGGTATTGTTTTAGGATGGCCAGAGGGTTAATTGCAATACCTCTTGAAGCAGTTGGCACAGAAAAGGCTTCCTCTCATGTCTCTCCTTTCTCCCAGTCATTCAATTCATTTATGATATGAGGTTGGCTATTTCACTGGGTGTAATCCTGTTCTCTTCTCCTCTTTCACTCCATCATCCAACCACAGTGGTGGGCAGCTGCTCTTGTGTCTGTTGTTATTCGCAGACTGGCCTATGGAGATCCTTCACTTGGGTCATTAGGGAGAACAAAGGTGAACGATAAGCTTTTTTTCTCTCTCCGTGTGTGTCTCTCTCCACTCCACCTCAATCAGAAGTTTTTAATCTCCCCTGTTCCCCTGGGCAGTGATTTGGTATATGTCAGAGCCCTCAGGCCTGCCTAGGTCCACAGGCTTCACAGTGAATTCCTACAAGATGAAAAAGAGAAGACAGTGAGACAATGCACAGCAAAAACAGAAAGGGGGCGAAGGAGGCAAAGGGATTTGTGTTGGTATGAGCTTTTCAATACCTCTTTTTTTTGTGCTTAACCTTTTTAGTGCAGCATCATGTGGAATGAAGAGACAGTTCTGCTCCCAACAGTAGTTTCTTTTTCTCATGTAGTCCTCCTACGTCTACCATTTTGAATTGAAAAGGTTTCCATGGACTCTCAAGGTTGACAGGGCTGAGTGAGTCAGAGCCACGCGCTTCATTGTCAGCTACAAACCTTGTCAATGGATGTGCTCAGCCGCTACCACAATAGCGCGGCATTCTTTGAATATCATGTTTCCTATTGTTGCTATTGATTTTAAGCCGAACTGGTTTTGAATCAAATTGAAAAAGGACGGTTCCAGCATAACAAGACTGTGCTGTTGGCATCGGCAGTAGTAGCTCAGTTGCTGTTCTGTGTTGGTACTTTGCTATGAAATCAATATTTTTCAGAAAATGTATCACCATTGCTGCCATATAACTTCTTCGAAGCCTGACAAATCTTCAGAAAGATTAAGGATTTAAAGTGAAGAGTTCAAAATGACTGAATAGGCCACAGATAAAGCTGATATCTCTTTGTGCCAAATGGACCTCTTACCCGTGTATTTCTGCCTACTACGGGCAAAATCAATTACATACGTATATTATAATGGCTTTTCATATGTGGGTCTCAGAGTCTCTTAAGTTGTCCAAGCCGGTGCCTTGTAGGCTAAAAAGAAAAGTACGACAAACCAATGGTCTCCGAAATGAGTTTGAAATTGTAATTATGCTATTACAAGTTGAGAGCAGCTTTTACATCCACAGTCGGCAGAAAGGAAAAATATCCACCTTAAGAAGAAGCAAGCTGACTTCTGATTCTAAGCAGCCAGTAACACAGCATACGATACTGAACATTTATAGAACGACATCATCTAGATCACTGGTGCTGCCTGCAGTTTTGTTCATGAAGGGATACAAACATTTTGGACGTATAGGCTACTGTTGACGTATATAAACAAAGCTTAAAAACATGAATCATAAAAACCTTATTTTCACCTCTCTGATGACAGATGCAGCCTACCTCACCAGAGCTGCAACTGACGATCATTTTCATTATGGATTTTTGTTCAGAAGTTTGGTCTTCAAAACGGTAAAAGATATATTTGTATAATCATTTCCCAGAGCCCAAGGAGATCAAATCAGAAAGTAAAAAAACAAAACAAAGATATTTAGTTCACTAAATTGTAAGACTGGAAAAAAGTGGCTAATCCACTAGAGAATCTGGAAGCATCAAACTGATTTAAACAATTGATAGAAGTTGCTGATTATCTATATAGTTAATCAAGAAATTGTTTCAGCTCTCTACCCAACTACAACGGCTTTGGACGTGGCTCTGTTTACCGTTTCACTGCTGTGAGGTGCGTAATGCAGATTTTAAACTGTTTCCAGGCTGCGTTCTGTCATGCACATGGACACAATGTGACACCATCATTCCCTCACTTCTGTTTTTCTTCTTCTTCCTCTGACACAAACTATAGATGCATGCCATATAGACACAAAAATGTGCCACTACAAGCGATCATGTATGTACATTGTCTACGCTTCACTTTGTTCGTTCCCCGAAGCGGAAATTGAGTCTGAAGGAGCAATCTCCCGGCACGCAGTGACAGAATAGAGCTGAAGACATTGGTTTTCCAGCGGAGAGGGTTGAAGCCTCGAATCTGCAAGGGCGGTGATTAATTGAGAGCATATTGGAAGTGACAAGGTCCTTTGAATACACCCAACTATCTCCTACTGAGTGAGAAGTAATTTTTCAGACTTCATTCACTGCAGTTTCACTTTAACTGCTGCAGAACACATGACAAAGCTAGCCAACTCACCTGGGCCCCCCCCGTCACCAAATACAAACCATATCTAACATCAGAGCGTACACTGAGGAGAAGGCAGTGAGCTGCCAACATACCTCGGCATAGATAGGCAAGAGAAAGAAAAAAAATAATAATAATACAGCTGTAAATATTGAAGGGTTCCAAAAACTGTTCTGCAAGACTGCAGATTTGAAGACAGATGTCATCAGATGTCATGTTTGTACAAAAAGAAGAGCTGGTGGGGAGACAGCTCGCGTCTCCTTCAGACTGAAAAACAGCTAGCCTACCTGAGGGAGTATCTGGAGTGAAGGAAAAACATCTCCCTCACAAGATTACATCGAGCACTATCATGTTAATCGGCTTGTTTTGTCTCGTTTCAGATGCATTATGAAGCGTTTCCTCTTCGAGCAGGATGTATGTAATTTATTCGATAATCTTAAAGATCTCAGCGCTTCAGGTGACAGCTGGCTGTATCCTCGGAATAAATGATTTCAGAAACTGACGTCACTCTTTTGAAACCTATACGAATCCCATTCCAAACGTTCATCTTGGTTAAGGAAGGCCTCCTTTCAGAGCTCTATTCAACATGACATGTATGTAGTAATCGAATGGAAAGCACCGTCATAGCATACAGTGAAATCTGGTTACATTTTATCAATGTTCCACTGTACAGCTTATTTCTTATTTAAAAATACGGTAAGTTGCTTTCGAGGCACCGCAATGAGCACGGTGCTCACAAAGAAAACAAGTTACCTGAGCGCTGAATGAGAGGAAAGAACGTGTGCATAGTACGGTGTTTACACATCAGCCCTTAATGGCAAACCACAACATGTACAACACAGACTAAAAACTAAATGTCATAGACAGCTGCAGGAATTACTGGAGAGATTCATATCAGGGGATCAACCTTTCCCCGGGTGCCAAAGCAGGTCTCAGAATAGACTACGCATTCATTTCAAAAGGCCATACAACAGCCTGCAGGCAAATAAGAGTGTGTTGTTGGATGGCCACGCCAGCTACACCAGCTGAATCTACAGAAATAGCTTCATTCTGATTAGTGCAAAACCTACAGACATACTGTATATTCGAAACAATCTGTAATTACACATTAAAGATGTCTGCTTTGACAACTTCATTGACGGAGGTTTGACTTAATGAGTATTCTGGACTGAAATATGATCAAATAAGAAGACTTTGAATGTACAAGAACACACGGTGCGGGTGTTGTTTGACACCGCGTCTGGTCTCGCTTTGTCTGACACATCTGTCACCAAGACTAAGTTTTCAGAGCATTTACATATTTAGGGGAAGTGTTTGCAATGTGCGAGATGTCTGAAGGAGGTTTAGAGACAACTTGTGTTTGAACAGAATACAAACAGCTAAGTTACTGGAGAGGATTTGAGCCAGAAAGACGTGCCAGCATACTGTAGAGGCTGGGGCTGCGGAGAGTAGCAATGCTACAAAACAGCAACTCTTTTCACAGAGAAACATGCGTCGCTTCCACTCTACTCGACCCAGCCTGCCCTCACAATTGCACGTCACCTTGACAGAGACCTGGGAGGTGCTCTCTTTGAAGATGAAGAATGTGTTGTGTAGACCGGCCCCCCTTCAAACGGCCTCGGATTTTTTCCAGCACTTCATGCTGGAAGTTTTGCAGCTATAGGCCCAAGCAGTCCCATCAGTATTGCGGTATAAGTGGAACATTTATTATTATTTATATATATATATATATATATATATATA